TTTAATAAAAAATATAATTTATTTATAATATATGTATAATATTTTAATAAAAATATAATAAATAACTAACTAAAAAATATATAAACATATATTCTATTCTGCTTTTTGTTTCTGTTTTTTCATGATTTAGTATAATTTGAATCATCAGAATTAATATCAGATTTAGATTCATCATTTAATAAAAAATTAATATTTCTTTTCTTTGAACTTAACAAATTAGTTAATTCATTATTATTATCATTTGAATTTTGGATTTCCTGTTTATAATCTGATAATTCTTTACATTAAGGATAAGCTTGTAAATATTTTTTTTTAAATTCAAAAAAATGTCAATGCCAATAAACTTGTCTATCTTTAACTATTACTTCTTCTAGTTCATTCTTATTTAATTTTTTTATCTTTTCAACTGTTTCTTCTATTGTATATTCACTTTTATCATATTTTAAATCCCAAATCATGTTTCGAAAATCTTGTTCATTTCCTTTATGAAAGTAAATTTGTATTTTTCATTTTTCAATATCATTATTCTATTTTCCTATAAATTCAATTATATAGTCAAGTCTTCTTTCAAATTGTCTCCAATCTCTTTAAACTGTATCTTTTGTTCTTTGTCTTCCAAAATTAAATGCTTTATTTGGAGGTATTCATGATGTCATAAAAATATATTTAACAAAAAATGGTTTAAATCCTTTTTTTTTATTTTAACTTTTTCTGGTATATCATTCAAATAATTTGTAATATCATTTCAATCAATTTTGGTATACTATTCATCAAAAAAGACTATTGATTAATTTGTATATCCATTTCACTAAAATATAGAAAAAAAAAAATTTTATATAATTTTAAAACTTAAAAAAATAATAATATAAATAATTTACCTAATTACTATCAGAATGTTGTTTCTTTTTTTTCAAATAAAATTCTGAACTAAACAATTTTTGTACAAGATTCGATTTTCTTGCACTGTTTTGACTAAAAAAATAAAATGTAACAGGATGCCAAAATCTTTGAATATTTTTTTTATTGATTTTTTTAACAGCTTTTCTAATTAAGTAAATATTTTGAGAATTATTTATAAGCCATTGTGGATTATTTTCAGCATGTTTTACAATAACTTCATCTTTTGACATATCATTATCAATAATATCTTCTATTATTTTTTTTGCTTTTTTGAGTGTTTCTGCTATATTATAGTTTTCTAAATCGATATATTTAGATACATTAAATTTAAAATGAAATGGTCCATAAATTTCTGGATCAGACTAATTCATATTGCAAATCATAATGAAATCAGATTATTATGAAATTTAAAGGTCTCAATTTAAGCATATAAGTCTTATCAAAATTCACCTATACTCTTTTTCTAATAATTCTAATCCCAAATCCTAACTTAATTATAAAAAAAATCTAATAAAAAAAGGCCCAACCAATTTTTAAAAATCATATATAAAATAAGTTAAATTTCATTATGATCTGATTTTATTATGATTTGTTACAATTTGTGCTAAAGTTCTTTTATATTCTAAATTACATTTTAAACATCTATTTGATAAATCTTTAAAATTATATTTACAAGGTTGATGTTTTGGATCTTTGCATCTGCCAAGTCTTTGCTGATTTCTTAAATCTGCCCAATCTTGAGCATGATATTTGTTTGATTCTTTAGAATTATTATTTGGTTCAAATTTAAAATATATTTCTTTAAATGGACATGTTTTTTTTAAAAAAGTTGTTCTAAATATTCTTTAATAGTATTTAATCTTTCATATAGAACAAAATTAAATTTTTGTAATCGAGTTTCAGAAGTTATTTTAGAATCTTGTGAAGACATTTTTATTTTATATAAAAAAAATT